ATGGCGGCTCCCCGCTTATGCAAATGAAGCCCGGGAAATTCAAATCCCGGGCTTCATTTGCAAGTGCGGTATGCCTACATTACCCTCCTAGTTCGAACTTGGAGGGTAGTGTAGACATACCCTCTCTGAGCTGTGCAAGCTGCACCAAGAGGTTACAGGCGGGGCCCCCAAGCATCAAGAAATCCTGCTGCTCAGTGAGGACCCAAGTTCCCATTAAGCAGGGCGCTTCTGTGGGCACTCAGGAGAGAGTCAGATGCCGCCTCGTCAATGAGCAGAGCACCCACAGCTAGGTCTCGTGTTTCTGCTGGTGGTGCACATCCACACTTGCCTCGGTGCACATAGAACAATTTATTCTTCTTCGGGTAGTCCCCGTGGGTGCTCCACTTCTGGTGTCGGGCTGGTCCCGGCGCCGCAAATCGGAGCTTTACAGAGCTGTGTGTGTGTGTGGTCGGGCAGCGCGCGTGCACTCTCGTTTCGCGCCTTTCATCTACCGCGCGCTGCCCGGCTCCCGCCAGTTCGTCTCACCGCCTATCTGAAAGACAGAAAAAAACAAGATTCCGAAGCAGGGAGGAGGGCGGGTCGTGGAGCACCCACGGGGACACACCTCGAAGAACGATCGTTACTGCACGAAGTGAGTAACTTCCTTTTCTTCTTCGGGTAGTCCCCGTGGGTGCTCCACTTCTGGTGACTCCGAAGCAGTAATCTCGGCTAAACGTGTGTTTCGGAATCGGTATTCCGAGCAGTAGGCAACACTGCCAAGGCTACTGCTGAGTCAGTGGTGAAGTGCTGAACAATTGCATAATGTCTTGAAAAGGTAGAATTTGAAGACCAAGTTGCAGCACGGCAGATGTCACGAAGAGGGACACCTTTCACGAAAGCTGTAGACGTAGCGACTGCTCGTGTTGAGTGAGCTCTAGGTTGCGAGGTGAGAGACTTCTTACGGATAGTATAGCACGTCGTGATACAAGAGACAACCAGCTTGGAAATGCGCTGGGCGGATAAGGACTTGCCCCTAGAAGAGCCCGATGTTGAAATAAAGAGGCGGTCCGTCTTACGTAAAGTACGGGTTCTGTCTATATAGAAAGCCAGGGCTCTGCGGACATCGAGCGTATGCAGGAGAGCGTCTCGCTGAGATGCATGCGGTTTTGGGTAGAAACATGGCAAAACAATTGGTTCGTTTATGTGAAATTCCGTACATACTTTAGGTAGAAAGGCTGGATGAGACCTCAGTATCACTGATTCCGGGTTGAAGACCGTATAGGGAGGCGTTGACATTAGTGCGGATAACTCGCTCACCCTGCGTGCTGATGTTATAGCCAGAAGAAAAAGTACCTTCATCGTAAGCATCGGTAGCGGTACCGTGGCCAGCGGTTCAAACGGTGGCCCAGTGAGGACATCGATAACCAGGTCAAGACTCCATACAGGTGGCGGAGGTCTCCGTGGTGGGTTGAGGTTAGCCAATCCTCTGAGAAATCTAACCATCATGGGGTGAGAAAAAACCGACTTGCCTTCAACGGGGTAGTGAAAAGCAGCTATTGCCGCTATGTGGACCTTAAGTGATGAAATGGCTAGTCCGGTTGCCTGCAGCTGAAGGACATAGTCCAATAAGACATGCATCGGCGAAAGCAAGGGATCCAGGAGTTTAGGAGCACACCATCGTACAAATCTGGACCACTTTGACAGGTAGGTTTTCCTGGTGGAATCTCTCCTGCTGTGCAGGAGAACACGCTTCACTTGGTCCGAACAAAGATTCTCGGACTCGCTGAACCATGTACCATCCATGCAGTGAGGTGCAGAGTGTCCAGCTTCGGGTGACGCAGTGAGCCTCTCTGTTGTGTCAGCAAATCTGGTAGGCAAGGCAGTCGGCGCGGTGCTCGTACAGAGAGCTGCCGAAGGGTTGAGTACCATGGCTGCCTGGGCCATGCTGGGGCTATAAGTATCACTCGTGCCCTGTCCATCACAACCTTCTCGAGTACTCTGGGAATGAGTACAACAGGGGGGAATGCATACAAGAGTGATGTGCCCCAGGGAAGGAGGAATGCATCTCCCAGCAAGTGAGGTCCCACTCCCGCTCTGGAACAGTAAGCTCTGCATTTTGCGTTGGCACGTGTTGCAAAGAGATCTATCGTCGGAAACCCCCACTGATGGAAGAGAGTTAAGAGGACATCTGTGCGGATCACCCACTCGTGGTCCTGGGGGAAATACCTGCTCAGTGCATCGGCTGTGGTATTGTTCACACCCGGTAAGTATGACGCAACTATAGAGATGTTGTTTCGAATGCACCATTTCCAGAGACGGATAGCCTCCGCACAAAGTGAGCGGGACCGGGCACCCCCCTGTCTGTTTACGTAGTACATTGCGACTACATTGTCCGTGAGGATTCTGGTGACAGTACCTTTTATGTATACCTTGAAGTGTTTGCAGGCATGAAACACGGCTCGAAGCTCGAGAAGATTGATGTGGAGCATCATCTCCGTAGTGGACCAACGACCCTGAACTGTTTTTGTGCCCATGTGGGCACCCCAGCCGATGAGAGAAGCGTCTGTGGTTATCTCTCGTGACGGTTGTGGTGCATGGAAGGGAACTCCTGACAACATGTTGTTGTGATTCGTCCACCATACTAGGGAGTCTTTGACATGTACTGGAAGTACTACCGTCTTGCGAATGCTGTGGTCGGTAGGCTTGTAAACCGTGCTTAGCCAATGCTGCAGACACCTGAGGTGCAGTCTTGAATGGCGCACTATGATTGTCGTGGAAGCCATATGTCCCAGAAGCTGGAGACATACGCGTACCGGGAGCATTGGAGCGTGCAAAACTGTTTTTATCAGATCTTGCATTACTTGAAAACGCTCGAGTGGAAGATGGACTCTTTCCGACTGGGAGTCGAGACGCGCTCCTATGAAGGTTAAAATCTGCGTAGGTCGTGGGCGCGATTTTTGAGTGTTCACGATAAGGCCGAGGGAGTCGAACAACTCCTGAGTTGCGACTACCATGTGTTGAGCCTCTAACTGGGTGCGCGCCTTGATGAGGCAATCGTCGAGGTAGGGGAAGATAACGACTCCTATCCTTCGAAGATGGGCAGCCACTACCGCTAGTGTCTTGGAGAACACCCTTGGGGCCGAAATGAGGCCGAAAGGCAGAACCCTGTACTGAAAATGATCGTCGCCCACTACGAATCTGAGAAAACGCCTGTGGGCTATGTGAATCGTTACATGGAAATATGCGTCTTGCAAATCCAGGACTGCGAACCAGTCTCCTCTGTTTAGTGCTGGCATGATCTTGGCCAGGGTGGTCATTTTGAAGCGCTGCTTTCGAATAAAACGGTTCAGACCCCTCAGATCCAGGATCGGTCTCCACCCTCCGGACTTTTTGGGAACCAGGAAATATCTGGAGTAGAACCCTTTGCCTCGGAATTCGTCGGGTACTCTCTCTATGGCTCCGATCTCGAGTAGGTGAAGAACCTCTTCTCGAAGAGCGGCCCCATGAGACGGGTCCCTGAGAAGGGATGGGGTGGGAGGAGTGGTCGGAGGGATTGATGCGAACGGGATTGTCAGGCCCGACGATATGACCTCTAAGACCCATCAGTCCGAGGTAATGGTGGCCCATTGATGAAGGAATGGCCTGAGGCGGTGGTGGAATAGAGTGGTGGTGGTGATTGCAGGCTTCCGAGTGCTGACCGTTGGAGACATGTTCGCGTCCTCTGCACGGGAGTCAAACCTGCTGCTTCTGGGAAGGTCGAGCAGCAGAGCGGGTCAATAGAGTGGTGGTGGTGATTGCAGGCTTCCGAGTGCTGACCGTTGGAGACATGTTCGCGTCCTCTGCACGGGAGTCAAACCTGCTGCTTCTGGGAAGGTCGAGCAGCAGAGCCCCAGAGAACGAAGGGTCATACGAGAGTCCTTGCCAGAATGGAGGATCTCGTCGGTAGTAGAGGCAAACAACTTCTGACAATCAAAGGGTAAATCTTCCACTTTGGAGTTCAACTCCTTAGGAGCTCCCGCTGACAGTAGCCAGGAAGCTCTCCTCATCGCAATGCCTGTTGCCATTGCTCGCGCGGCTGTGTCAGCAATGTCCGCGGCTATCTGAAGGGCTGTTCTACATGCGGTGAAACCTTCCTGGACAACCGATCTAAGGAGAGACTTCTTACTGTCAGGGAGGTGCTGCATGAGTTCCGGTAACTTAGAGTAATTATCAAAGTTATGGTTTGATAACAGAGCAGCATAATTGGCAACCCGCAGTAACAAGGTCGAGGAGGAGTAAACTTTCCGACCAAAGTGGTCCAATTTCTTTGTCTCCCTATCCGGTAGGGAATTCTTGAATTGGGGCATCTTGTTCTTGTGACGAACCGCATCCACTATCAGGGAATTCGGCTGAGGGTGATTGAAAAGAAAATC